GCAATTCCCAGCCAGTCTCGGTTTCATAGTCGCTGGGCCTGCCCGGCCCTGTGTGGGGACCTCAGGCTGGGGAGAGGGAGCTGACTTTCTTTCTTCCCTCTGCCAGACGATGCTGCTGGAAAGGGTTCGTGTCACACAACAGCCGGAAGGAGAGAGCAACTTCAATGTCTTTTCTCAGATGCTGGCAGGCCTGGACATGGCTCACAGGTATAGCTGGGCATTGGGGAGCCATGTGTGGAGGACTAAATCCAGTCAGTCTGTGCGCAATAGCTTTCTGCCATGCACTCCAGGCTAGATGCTATGGGTTTGGGGCCACAGGAAATGATGCACCAGCACTTATGGGATGGAGTGAGGGAGTGTGACATATTAATACCTGCCCTCCTCAGGACACGGGTTCATGGAGACTGCCCCAGGGACAAAAGGGACCAGCCTCAGCAAGGTCATCGTGTGCAGCTAGGGAGACTGAGGCTTGAGGGTTGGGTAAGCTCTCAGAGCCCGCTTATTGTTTCCATCCATGTGTGAAATACATTTTGTTCTGTGCTCTGAAGCATGTGCAAATGTGCACCACCAGTAGAAATGCACGCTGCTGGCTGTGGGTGCTCTGCTAATCAGCTGGGCGGCACCTGAATCTCTCTTGGGTGGCTGCCCAAGTGCTCCGCTTACAGGAGCATTGGTACGGAGTTCCTGTCACTGCAGGTTTTTACAAACAGGTTGAACAAACCCCTGTTCCAGGGATGGCCTAGGTGCTGCTTTGGATGCTTTCTGGCAGGCATTAGTCAACCTGCCAGGTGCCTCCTTGTAGGTGTGAGAGAGACATTGCCAGAGAGAACCTAGACTGGGATCTTGTTAGGGCTGAGGTACAAGAAGCATAGGGGGGAATAGCTCAGACTAACCAGCAGGGCCCACTCCCCACCATGACTACCCTGGCAGTGAATCTCAATGCAGAGAGAAACTTCTTTCCCATGATGGGTCAGAGGCGAGTTTGTGCAGCTCTCTCTTATTGTCCAGCAGCAGCTCTGTCCTCCCAACCCTGCAAGGGCATTAGACCCACCGGACCCAGAGCCATTCCTCAGAGAATGCAGGATCGTCCTTCCATGGCTGTGGGAGAGTGTGTCAGACTCATGTACCCATCATACATCGCAGGCTTGGGGATTATATACAAAAGTGGTGATCTTGCTGTATAAGGTTGCACAGGCAAATAGCAGGTCAAGCGAGGACCTTCACAGCATAGGTTTGTTTACACTCTTCTAGCTAATTGTGTGTACAACACTGATTACACTCAGGGAATGGTTCTGAGATATAAGCTTATAAAAAAGGCTACTGACCACAACATTTCAGTGCCCTCTGTCATTTGGGTCATTTGTTGCAGAGAAGCAGTAATGTCTGTAGATATAACCTCACTACTGCAAACCCCAGCACACTATACATTGAGATCTCTTACCCCATCAATATTTCATACAGCACATTTCCCCTCACTTGCTCCCCTGACGTTCTTTAGAAGTTGGGATGTTAAAATGTGTGTAATTAAGTAACCATGTAACCACTGAAAATGTTGTGAGGGGCAGTCGGCTCTCTGGGAGCCGGTACACATAGGAAGCCATCTCTCCGTGCATATCAAGAGCCTGCATGTAACCATGAACGTTAATTGATGAGCCCAGGCTACATCCCTTACACTTTCACGACCCTGGATAGAAGTCAGCTGTAACATGACCCAGTGCCTTCTGGTGAACTGGTTCTCAGCTGGGTGATGGGCACCGCAGTTTCCATCTCCGTTTGTTCTTACAAAGGCACTTTTTCAATAATCCGGAGAGAAGGTGGGCACATTAGACTCTTCAGCTAGCTAGACGTGAGGTTGTTTCCGCAGAGAGCTAGTGTGTATGTGTGGAGAGAGAGCCTACATGAAAGTGACACACCTAGAAATAGGGGTAAAAGAAGTATTATTCCAGTGAGAGAATTAGCCTGATTCTCCTCTTGTGTAAATTAGGAGAACTGCCATCTAGTCGACAGCACAAAATGTGTATCGGCTTCAGAAGAGTCAGGCCAGTGGATTCTGCTAGAAGTTTCTCTTCAGTCACTGAACAGCTAGTGGACACAGGTGGCTGATCTGCACTGGTTTTTATTAGATCCCCGTTTAAACATTAGGATTGGCTTCCAGGCTTCTCTGTCCCCCTCCCATTTACACGCAAAAGCTGGCTTCTGAATAGTGTTTCCCAGGCCTCTCCTGAGGGAAGAATACAGAACAAAGACTCTTGGAACATGAACAACCAGTGTTGCCCTGGATCAGCTATTGTTAGAGATAGATGTAATGTTACGGGCTAACAAGGGAGACTTGAAACAGGAAATGTAGGATCAGACAAATCAATGTGATCTTTGTCCGGGGATGTGAATTAGGCTCTGGGACTGAACTGAGGGACTCTGATTTCTCCGGTAGAGGGAGCAGAATAGCCACAAAATAATTTCCTCATGCAGCAGCCTGTTTGTTGCTCTGTTTTCTGATAGAATGAGATTGGACCGCAAAGATGCAACTTTACACAATCGGAATCACGGCACTGTTCGATAGGGAGCTTGCTTGCTGCTCTTAGGGGAAGGGGGCAAGCGTCAAAGTCTCGGGGTATGGGGTGGTCACTTTCAGAGACTCAAGTGCAGACGTGGGCGAGAAATGTTCCAAGAACAGGGTAGGACAGGAGACTTCTGGCACTTTCACGTTTTGGCTAAAACCAGGATTGGGCAAATCCGAAGAAAATGAAGAATAATTCAAAAAATTCAGTTCACTGTTTAACACACACACAAAGTATTGAGTGCTGAGGGTAGAGGGCTCTAAGAGGTGGGGGACTGGCACTGGGGGGCTTGAAGAGCAAA